TTTAATTTTTTTTATGTTTGTTATTTACTTCTACTTTGGGGAGAGTGTCATAAATTTCATCAAAAATTTTGAAAAAAGAATTAAATATTAAAAAATATTATCTTCAGAAAAGTTAATATTGTACCAATTAATAAAAGATATTTAAAAGGTTCTAGGTTTTTGTTATGAAGTATTTGATTTTTGAATGATTTTTTCATTATATAACATTTTCGCATAAATATTTGTTGAAAAGAAAATAAAAAAATGATTAGGTATGTCACTTTAATAATACCTTTTTGAAGCGAATTATTTAAAGTATCGTTAGTTATAATGTTGTTAATTAAAGATGTTGTTGTTTGAGTAATTCTAGTTAGTTTTTTTATTAGAGGAACAGCTCCATTTTCAAATAGGCTATTATAAAACCCATTAATGCTTTTTTTGATTTGATAAAAAAGCAATTTAAATTCAGATCACCTAGTATGTAAAACTATTTTTTTTATTTCGTGGTTGCTTTTATTTATTACTTCATCATGTAAAAATGTACTTAAATTTTTAACTTTGCTAGGTGGTGGGCTAGGTGGTGGGCTAGGTGGTGGGCTAGGTGGTGGGCGTTGTACCCCGATATTATAAAATTATAATCTAAACTTGAGTCATCAGGACTGCATCAAATTTCAGTTGTGCATATTACACTAAAAATAGTCAACACAATCTATTCAGAGACCAAATCCAAGTTTCTAATATTCAAGCTCAACCAGTGATATTAAAAAAAAAAAACAATTTTAAGTCACAGATTAGAGAAAACGTTATCAAACGTTTCCAACTTCTTTAGTCAAAAAGATGGTGCGAGCTTCTGCAAAGATGGTGCCAGCCTCTTCGAGGCTATTGGTATCACATATAACTCGAAAAAATGGTGCCTATTTATAGATAATTTACCCCGAAGCTTTGTTGCTATGTGTCTTGAATCAGTGTTGCTAAGTGTCTTGAAGTATGAGAAAATGTTTATTTTGATTCAAAATATTTACTTATGGATCTTCAAAGAGGTTTTACAAAATTTCTCAGATTTATTTTCCTCTAGGACAGCCTTAACATTAAGGTGCACTTAATGTTACGGTTATTATCACAGAAATGACTTGCCACAACCAAATTTCTCTGAGGGCAAGAGCAATATATAGTGAGAGCCATTGAACATCAAGTTAGACTTTATCAAGTGGTTTCTCACTGCTCTTGGCAAAAAGTTGCACTTTTTCAGTATCTTTAATACCATTTTTTGAAACTGGTTAAAGTTGTTATCTTTGTAGGATCATAGATGAAGAAGATCATAAAATATGGCAAGTTAGAGTCTCTCCAAGCACTTGAACAGGACGAAGTGAGAGGCTCAGAACAGTTTTGATGCAGTTGTTCATGGCTTCTTTGGTAATTGCAATTCTGAGAACTATATGAAATTGGTTCAGATTTTTACAAAGAATGACGCCTAAATGGAATGTGAAATGCTACTTATAATCCATATCTTTTGTGTTAATCTTAATAAAAGTGATTTACAGTTGACACGCAAACCTAGAAAATCTGCTTCTTTTTTTAAATACTTTTTGTGTATATTCAATATGCAACCGTTTCTTGCCGAATAGAATCAATAAAAACATGAATTTTTGTGTACTCTGTTTCAATAAAAACGAATTTTCTTTGTGTTGTGGTCATATCTTCAAAGTTTGCGATGAATATCATTTTTAACTAAGATTGATTCAATAAGTTCTTAAAATTTGACAAACTTAAGTAATTTAGCAGTTTAAGTTAAGATGTTTTCATTATTAAAAAAAAAGGTAACATGTTTTATTTTAGTCCATATGATTATAATTCATTATTTTAAAGTTTCTATTTTTTTTCTAATTTGGAAACAAAGGATCCATGGTTCAAACCCCACCACCACTGGGATAGTTTTGTGAAATTGGTTAGAAATGAGGCGTTAAACTCCTAATAAATGCTCTTTCATGGTGCTTTGTAATAAGACCCAAAGGACTTCTTGGGGCACCTTTGAAAAAAAAAAACATGCTGGTTGTAAAGTTTTCAAACTCTGTGGTAGCTCTTGAAGAGGTTGATTTCATTAACAACTACAAAATATTAGAGTATTAACAATTCAAAAGTCACATGCTTGGCTTGCGGGTATAAATACCCTACAATTTACCTGTTTGTCGTGAAACCCGTTTTGAATCCTTTGACCATTCTTTTTTGTGCTTCCGCTTAGCACCTCTTTACTCTATCACCTTTCTCTTTGTTCTTTATTGTTCTTCTTCTCCTCAAAACTGCACTATTTTAGATGTGATTTCTGATCAAACTGACACTGCCATCTCTCTGTTGTTATTAGTGACTATAATGCTCATCACACTGAACGGCTTGACTCTAACGCCATTAGTTCTGCTGGCCTATAAATTCTGCATTTCTCAATCTTTTGCTCAAATATTTAACTTTATGATTCGTTTATCTTACAACTTTAATTATTTATCTTTACTCCTTGATTTATGTCTAGTCTCTGATCCTAGCTTGTGTCCAGTTTCTTCTATTTCTCCCTTAGGTGGTTTTGACCATGGAATGATTTTTTTAAATATTTCATCTCGTACTTCCTTTTCGGACCCACCCTATCATTGTACTACTTACTACTACCCTTTTGCAACTTAAGCCTCATTCTTCTCCATGGTTTTTACTTTCTTGTGCAGCTGCTATATCTAATCGTAATCATTTATTCAACTTTTTCATTATTCTTAATTCGCTAAATCTCATATCTTATCTCGAAAATTGGGGTCTAAAGAATTTTGGAAAATCTTTAACAGCGTCATTAACAAGGGTAAGTCTAACATTTCTTATTCATGGGACTAAACTCATTACCTCTCCTAAAGATAAGGCAAAACTACTATAAAAGCTTTCCTTCTAATTCGACTTTTGAATCTTGTTGCCATTTTCTTCTTTCCATTCCAATTAAACAGGTTAATCAATAGTTAGACATTCTTATCACTCCAGCTTCCATTTCCAAGTCATATCTCAAAAAAACTCTTTTATGGCTTGAGGTCCAGTCAACATTTCTGAAGAGTTCTTCGGAACTCTCTTGCTTTACGCTCTACGGCTCCTTGTTTGGTAAAAAACCTTCCCTTTTTGATTGCTAAGAACAGACACCCAATCTTGAATCCGATATCACTTCTGTTACAGGTTGAGGCTTGCAGTGGCTTGCAAATTTTAACTTCAACAAACGTCAGTTGTTTATTGCAAACAACTATTGTAATACTGTCAACATTTTTATATTAGTTAATGGCAACCCTCTCACCTTTGTTCCCTTCATTACGTCTTCTTGGATTATTGTTTACTACTGACCTTCCATGAAAATTAATTCCATTAAAGTTGCTTCTCTTTATCGTGTTCGCCATTTTCTTACTCCTAATTCCATTCTCTACCTCTAGAAATCTCTTATTTTTCCCTGAATGGAATTCTCTTTTCAAATTTGGGCTGGTTCTTCTAATGATGCTTTTTCTTTTTTAGACAAGGTTCAAATCGGATTGTAAACCTAGTTGGACCCGCTCTTTTTGCTAAGCCTAAGCCTCTTTCCCATTGCCATGAAGTTGTATCTCTTTTCTTTTCTACAAATACTGCCATAGTCGCTGCTCAAAAGAGCTATCATCTCTAATTCCATCAACTAAAACTTGTTCTTGTTTGACTCATTGTTCAGCAAAGTCTCATTCGTTTACTGTATTTGTTCCTACATGCTCTAAAATCTTTTATTCGTCTATTTTTTTTGCCGGCACTTCAACCCTTTGGAACTCTCTTCCGTCTTCATATTTTCCTGACTCATATAACCTACAACTTTTCAAGTCTTATGTCAACTGTTTCCTTGCTCTATAAATCTGTTCTTTTTTTCTAGTAACTCCCAACTTAATAGTGGTTGCTTGCAGTCTTGTTGGGAGTGAATCAGAATAAAAAAAACAACAACAATAAAATAATAAAAAAAAAATTTAAGATGATTTAAGGTAGACATTCGCTAACTCAGTGTTAGACTCAGTGTTAGACAAAAATCTTAACATAAATACAGTAAACATGCTAAGATACTTAACTTGCATTGATTGATATCACAACTTACTCAATAGATTTTAGAGCAGCCGTGACGCAGAGGTTAGAACTCTGACTCAGAACCCAGAGGTCAGACACCAGCTTTAGCCCAGTAAACAACAATGATAAAGAAGGAGGCGTGAATTTCCTTGTGATAAAACTGAAAGAACTTCTGTAAGCACCTTAATAACTACATAAAAAAAAGATTATTAAAAAGTCTTCTTATCCGCTCAAATTGAGTAAATAAATATTGGGTGTTAAATTATTTTACCGATAGGTATCAAGGTAATACACTAAAAAAATACCGATTTTGTAGTAAAATGTCAATTTTGTTTTTGCATGATTTTTTTTTCTCTGTCATCTTGTATTATTTAATAATATATTTAAAAAAACTAGATCTTTTAAGAGTTACTAAAAATTGTTTACCTTAGCAACGCCTCAGCAATAAAACAAAAACTTTTATTACTGGGTGTATAACATTCATTACATCTATTTAGTTTGACAAATCTCATGTAAAGCATATGAAGCAAAATAAATTTTAATAAAGAAATTAGTTCACATGTTAAGTCAAATCACTTAGTATTTCAAGCATATTTTTAATAAGTTGTGATTATAATTTTAGGTATTTTTTTGTTTGACAGTTTTGCCGCCGTTATGGATGTAAAAAAATTCGTTTATTTCTTTTATTTTTTATCAGAAAGATATTAGTTTTGGGCTTTATTCCAGCTTTTTATTGAAAAAGTAATTTTTAGTAGTGTACCACCATTTTTTTTCTCAAATTGATTCAATAAGAATTGATCTGTTTCAAAATATTTTAACCTTAAACAAATACAGATTTATATATACGATGTTTTACGGTTTGCTTAATAGCGTGGTGGCTTTGTTTAATAGCGTGGTGAAAAAAAGGAGATTATTTAAAGAAAAAATGTTTTTTTTCCAACTCATTGAATTCTATTAAAATACATATATAAATATTTACAAATTATTAAAAATCCTTAAATATTAAAATATATAACAAATCTTAGTGAGTGTTCAAGACTTGGTCAAAAATAATAGCTCATTCCGTCTATCTTCGACCAAGGCAAGAAACCTATTTATTCTTTCAGTTCTTAAAAGTGTCTGTTTTTCAATATTATCTGGATCAATATTATCTTCGGAGCACCTCTCGGCTTTGTAGGCAGATTGCAAATCTAATTCCAATTGAGCACGCCTTTCTTTTAACTTGCTGGTTGACTTTGCATTCTAAAGATAATACAAAAATATTACATATTTAACGTTTCCACGTTATCGCGTGCAACAAATATAAACTCAACATATAAGCAATTTTTCACAATTAAAAAACGGGGGTGTATATATAATTTTTCACAATTAAAAAACGGGAATGCAGTCTTTGACAGGAAGACGTGCGATCACACGTCTTTATATGACCAGGCAAATTACATTTTTGCTATGACGATTTGACCACGGCTATATAAAAAAACAGTTTTAAAAACGCGCTAAATAAAAAGTATGTAAAATTAAAAAAAAAGAGCATCAAAACTTCTTAACAAATGTATTATTATATTAGCGAAACGCTTTTAGTAGTAACAAATAGTATTAACAATTTACTGAAAATGGTTTTTTTAAAATATAATTGACAGTTTTAAAACATAATTGTACTTTCGGCCCGCTGAAAGTGCAAAACAAACATTAAAGTGAATCATGGAAAGTGGAGAGTTGCAAGTTCTTTTAAGTTTGATAGAAACAGATCAGTTTGAAAGCGATTCATTTTATCAAGAAATCGAAATAGCAGCTTTAGAAGAATGTAAAGAGACTTTAAATTGTAGTGATTGCTCGAAGGTATTCAAAACAACTAGCGGTCTGAAAAGGCATATAAACTCTAAGCACAAAGAACTTGTGCCTACTGACAACCTTGTCAAGGTTGTCGGTAGTGAATCAGTTGATTTAAAGAAAAATACACAATTATGTATTCAAAGTACACAATTCAGAGATCTATTGACTAACGCAAGACATAAACTGTCAACAGATGATTGTTTTTGTAATGAAGATCGAGAATGTTTTAAAAACATGGTTGTCACTGAATCTGAGTATTTACAAGTTGAATCTTTTTTTTTTAAAAGAAATGCATGAGTTTAAAGGCAATGCCGAAAAATTTTATTCTTCACTTCACCACAAGTATACAACTGAGTCAGTTGCGATAAAAACAATACCAAAGGAACTATATTATTTATTGTTAGCAGAATTAACAACATTATGTCTAAATTTTTTGATTACAAAAGAACCTAAACTTATTGGTGAAGATTCGAATCTAGAAATAAATCTCTCTGAAAAAGACATAAGATGCTTAGAATATATTGCAGGTTATGTATTTCAAAAACTGTACTCTAAGTTGAGAAATAAAAAAATTAATGATGGTGCAATGTCTGGACAATGGCTTGATATTATACTTTCATCAAAAACTCAAGAAGAACAAAAACTTGTAGATAGTAGAGATAGAGGTGGATTGTGGAAAATGAATACACTAGTAATAAATATTTTTAGTGCATGTGAAAAAAAATTTAGAATACATACTAGCGTAAATTTTAGAAAAATTGACAGTAAAGTATTGGTTTCATAATTATTAAAAAACTGTTTTGTCAAGTCCTGCTTTCATCAAATATGTGACCTTCCTGAAACAGAAATAGACAAAGAAATTGCTAAAACTTTATTATATCATATAGTGATGCTTTTTATTCGTTTTCGTTTACATTCACACATAAAGCAAATAAAAGAAAAATTCAAAAACAAAAACAAAAAAAATAACAAAAGCAGAATCTTTACGATCATCATTAAAAAAATCAAATAAGATCAAGAAAAATATTTATATATTAATATACGATAGCTGAGATTTACAATCATATTTCCTCTCATCAGTATTTTATCAATCTATGCAGATAAAGAAAAACCATATTTATAAGAGTATTATAGTTCCAGTTTATAATACTTATCAAACAGCTATTTTCATAGCTACAAATTAAAATAATTACATTTTTGGTTAGAACAAATATTTTTATTAATTTATTATTTTAATCAACTTATTTTATTTATTTTAATCAAATGTTGTGTTTTTTCTCTTTACAAAATAATGTATGACATTCTTTAAAATTTTAAAAGGCTTTTATCAGTAATCAGAGTTAAATTTCAGGGTGACAACCATAAGGTGAAACACATTTTCGAACCCCAATCATTTATTACCCCGTACCATATGACTTTCCCCTTGTTTACAGTTTGTTTTGACATTTGTTTAGAAAAAGTTTTAAAAATTTGAGGAAGAAAAAATGAGGGATTGTATGAAAAATACAGATCTAAATCCTATCAGGGAGCTGATAATTTCATTACACAAAAAAAATTTAAGTCAAGCTGATATTTGGAGATGCCTAAATGATATAAAAGTCAGCAAATCATTGATTAGTCGAACAATTTCTCGTTACAAAACTACTGGGCAAACAATTCCAGCTAAAACTAGAAAAAGAAAGCGCGTCGAGCGCACTCCAGCAATCATCAAAGTGGTAAGAGAACGTTTACGAAGAAATCCTGCTCGCTCAGGTCAGCAGCTAGCTAAAGAGCTGAACATGTCATATACTCTATGCAAAAGGTTATAAAACAAGATTTAAGACTTAAGTGCTATCGTAAACAAAAAATTGCCGGCCTCACTGACAAAAACAAGGTGGAAAGAGTCAAGCGTTGCAAATCGCTATTGAAGCGGCACGGTGGTGTAGATATTGTTTTTTCGGACGAGAAAATGTTTACTTTTGAGCGCCCGTTGAACAGACAAAATGACAGAGTTTATGCTGTAAAGCTCTCTGATGTTCCTTTAAACGTTAGAACTGTCCCTCGTTATCAGAACGCTTCGGCGGTCATGGTATTCGGGGCCATCTCGAAAAAGGGGAAATTACTTCTGAAATTTATCGATAGAGGGGTGAAAATCAACAAAGAATACTACTTACAGAATGTGATCAAAGATTTGATTGAACCTAAGGCTAAAAAAATGTATGGTGATGATCCATGGGTGTTCTAGCAAGATTCTGCCCCTGCACACAAGGCTATTGTTGTTCAAGATTACTGCAAGCAAAATTTCCCAGATTTTATCGATACCAAAGAATGGCCTGCTTCGAGTCCTGACCTCAATCCCCTTGATTTCTTTGTCTGGGGATACATGCTACAAGAACTGGGGAAGCATAAATTAACAACTTTTGACCAATTCAAGGAACTTTTGATCGACATTTGGGACAAAATGCCACAAGAAACCGTGCGTGCCGCATGTGAAAACTTTTTCAAGAGATGTCTAGCCTGCATAAAAGCAGAGGGCGACAGGTTCGAATTAAACCAATAAAACTTGTTAAATACACTTGTAGCTTTCTATTGATACCACTTTCGAATAAACATAACTCTTAAATTTGAAAATATAGCTTACTTTATGTGTTTCACCTTATGGTTGTCACCCTGTATAATAGGTTTTGGTAAAATTTGATTTTTAAATAAACTAACAGTAATTTTGGGGAAGACAAATAATATCTACTGATAAACTAATTAAAAAAATGTTTTATGAAATAAGGTTTTCCAAAAAAAAAGATCATAATACAATAAAGTTAATTTATTTTTTCTAAGTTTCTTGGGAACCGGTGTATCATCAATTACCCATTCATTAGTATGCTGTCTAACATTTCCACCAAGAGGTTGAATTGTAAATTGAGATTTTATGATATTATCATTGTATCCAGTGTCTTTAAGGTTAGGATTATCCCTACTGCAACCTATAGTTCTCTGCTTACCAAAGTAGTTCTCCAATGCGTCTTGACAAAATATTTCAGTTAATACGTATAAAAATTCTTTGCTTAGTAAGTATTGAACGCATTTAACTAAGGAGTTTACCGTTCTAGATAGACCTTCAAATGTCTGATTTGATATGAACATTTTATTAAGTTCTTTTTTAGAAAATTTTTCTGGCCTTTTTTGTATGCTTTCCCTCCAGTCTACAAAATATTTTAGAAAAGTGTTTTTTAACCAGTAAAACCTTTCATCTGAACAATCGGTATAAGGTTTCAAAAATACTTTACGATTTTTGAGGTGCTCTTTAGTGTTTGAGACATTGCAGCAATCAAAAATTTTTTCCATTAACAGACAGAAATTTGCTGTCTCAGAAGCTTCACCTGGCCCAAATTCAAGCATTCATGTATTGCCAACTGTAGCACTTAAAATTCGAACTGCTAATTTTACGTTCATAACAGAGTATGCATTTAATACTATATGGTCTCGAGTAAGTTTAGGAAAATAATTTAAATTACATTCCATATCTAGTAAAACTTAGCAATATGACAATAGTAAAACTTAGCACTCCAGAGAAGATATTTTCCATTATTCCACATATATCTTGAACAACGGTTAGATCCAGAGTTGCTCAAACAGTTGATGTTTTGATGTTTTGATAAGATGAGGAGGATCAGAAAAAAACCATATATATCGTTCATCATCTGCATAAATATTTTTTGTGCAATATGTTATACCATTTGCTTTGTTGTCATTATTCATATGCATTTTATAAAATGCATGATTTGGTGAAGCTCCATCGCAAGTCACAGCTATAACTTTTTATTTACATGTTCTTTCTAATATTGCAACAGCACGCTAAAATATTGGAAAAATCCGGAATGACATAATACTATCAGTAGCAAAACTTGCAAAAGCATAAGATAAGGGATTCACTTCTAATAAAAAAAACTCAAATATGTGAAACTAAAGTATCAGTTTTTTCAAAAGTTGCCTGAGTAAGATCATCATCACCAAGATTAACTAAACCAATTAAATCACCTGTGTGCTTATCCCAAGGTCATTTGTGTGCTTATCACAAGGTCATTTTGAATTTTCATTTCATCAAAAGAAAGTATAATGTATTGTTCAAGTGCAGAAAAGTTTGAAACTAATTTAGCAAGCTCCTTAACATATTGACTATTAAAACCCCTTTGTGGTTTGATGTAGGTTCTATAGTCTCTTAAAGTGCGTTGAGAAGGCAAAACAAGTATACCTTTTCCACCTTTTTGTAAACGTAGGAGATCATATGCAGCTGGAGATTTTGCATACAAAGCTAAAGAGTATTTTATTACCATCGGATGGTATCGTGTTTGAGATGGGTGTTCTGTTAAATATTTCAACTGTTCTGAAAGGAATAATTTCATGAAAGACGAAATTTCTCTATTTAAATTTAC